AATATTAACCATCACAGGGCTCCCCAGTGGGAGGACTCCATCCACACCGCTCCTCCTTCAAGGTAAGGCTGTGAGAAAACTCAGCCTCACCCATGGAAAGTGGTGATGGTTCTTACCCTCTGCGCGCATTCAAAGACAAAGATGGAGATGGGATAGTGACAAAGCATTTGGCACTGCCAAGGATTCAGGGTGTTCAGGGAGCCATTGACAGACATCTCTGACTTCTTCCCTGGGGCTAGCAGGTGGCATAGAGCACTGTACCCTCCCCCACCCCTTTCCTTCCTCCAGCTGCAGCCCCTGTGGCCACACACACTGTAGGGAAGTGAAGGGGTACTGGCTGGGGACTTGTGTCCTCCCTTCCTTATTCATTGTGGGGCTAGGGTATGCTGAGCCGCTGGCCTCTGGGAAAGGGTTGGAAGAAGGGCTGCAGACATGCCCACTGTGTGTACGGAACAGAGCAGAACAAACAAGTAGGCGGCTGAGTCATAAAACCACGGTGTGTTTTATTAGCTAATAAGATGCATTTGCTTTTATTAAAGAGAGAAGCAACTTGCCAGGAGGTCTAGGGACTGACTCCTGAAGGGGCACAGGGAAGGCTGTCTGCCCACTCACCCTGTCCATCATAGCCATGTCCTTAAAGCCTTCTCTCCCCCCCCCCCCCAGCTCTTCCCTGAACTGCTTAGTCATGCCTAGGGCTAGTCAAGAAGCCCCGAGATCACACTCATCAGTCCATAGCCCTACCCAGGGAGGAGAGCACTCATGGCCTCAAGTGAGGGCGGGTGGGACAACGCCACACGATGGCGGGAAGAATTTCTGAGCTTAATTGGCAATTATCCAAATGATAATTTTCTAGCATTAAAGATATTTTTCTAGCATTAAAAAAAAAATCCCTGGGCTCAGTACCCAACCCTGGGAGTTGGGACCCTCAGAACCACGCCTGGAGCAGAGAGGCAGGTGTTATAGACATTCTTGTGATTTTTGGGCACAAGCTGTAGTGGTAGCTGAGCATCTCTCTCTCTCTCTCTCTCTCTCTCTCTCTCTCTCTCTATTTATCTATTTATTTTTAATTTCATTTTCTAACCACAGTTCCCTCACCCCTCCTCGTGCCCCCCTCCCCTGCCTCCTCCAAGCCCACCTCCCCATCCATCCCTCCCACAGCTGTCGGTCTAGAGTTCACAAGTTCCCACAAGCTTGGTTCAGCTGTCTCTATAGATTTCTCCATCATGACCTCCCTTGCTCATGTATTCCCTCCTTCCTGTCTTCAGCTGGATTCCCAGAGCTCTGCCAGGTGCTTGGGCTGTGGATCTCTGCATCTGGTTCTGTCAGTTATTGGATGAAGGCTCTATGATGACAGTTGGGGTATTCACCAATCTGATTACAGGGAAAGACTAGTTCAGGCCCAGTCTCCACTATTCTGAGCATCTTTCTTGAGAACGGGTGATACAGGCAGAATAGTCCACTGGCAGTCAAAAGACATTCAAAGACCGGGTTGTGGGGTGTGGACAAGGAACGTGGGATGCAAAACACCTGGGTTCCTGGAGGGAAAGCTGGAAAAGAGTCTGGGGATAGTTGGTTCTAGATGAGAGTAATCTGGTGGTCTTGGACTGGAGCCCTTTCCCTCACCTATCAAACAAGGGTTTTGGCATAATTTCAAGCTTAAATTCCCTTCCGTTTTTCCGAAGGACTGCAAGTAACTGAAGCTCCCTAAACCGAACACAAACGCCTCCACATAAAGCCTGGAATCGGTCCTCGGAGCTCAGCCCATTCCCCCATCCCCACCCCTGCACTTACTGTCCTTTGGGGACAGCCTGAACTTCACTGCAGTCTGTTTGGCTCCAAAGAGGGCAGATCTGTGGGTCGGAGTCCAGCGCCCCCTGGTGGCACCGAGATCCACAAGCCCTATGGGAGTTCTAGGAGGCTCGACGGCAGCGGTGACTCAGGGTGCCTGGGCTGCCAGAGCTGCGGGAGGCCTGATTCCGTTGTGGGTTGACCCACAGCTCAATTAATTACCAGTTGTTGGGAATCCTAGTCGCTCATCTGTAGTGACTCACCCCGCGGGCAGCCACGCTCACTTGCTAAGCACGGTGGTGGGTTGGTGGGACACACACACACACACACACACACACACACACACACACACACACACACTCGGATTCTAAAATGAATTTTGGAGAGCACCAGCTCTGGTGCAGCTCCCCAGTCGGGTCCCTGAAGACCCCAGGGAGACACCCCTGTGCTGTGGTGCACCCACAAACCTTTGAATTTGGGTGAAGAGCTTTTTACCTGGGAGCCTGTACGAGGCCCTGAATCCATAGGGCTGAGTCTGGGTAGACAGAGACCGGGCTATGGTCAGGGAGTCTGAAGAACATGGGGTTTCTATATCCTCGAACTCAACAGTTGGGTCTGATTCACAGACTCTATGGTCAGCTTCTAGCTCTGGCCTCTTAGCTATTGCCGGGGGGGGGGGGGTCACAGGATTCCAACATCTGCACTTCTTCCTTGGCTGGAAACAGAGAAGATAGCCTAGCGGAAGAAAGCAAGTCCTGGGGGGGGGGTCTCAAGAAATTGTTTTACTTGCCCGTTGGCAACAACGCTGCTCTAGGGGCGCTTTGCGAGAGAGACAACCTCTGGGCGACCTACAGTGAGACGGGTGGTTGGGGGATCTGGAAAGTCTAAACAGAGAAATCTGGGCTTCTTTCCTGTATGCTAAGACTAACTGATTCTTGGCGGGATCCTCCTGTCCCATCCCCAAGCCTGAACTTAAAGGGTGAACTTCCCGGGGGCTTGCTCTCCTCTGCCAGGGAAACAAGAAGTGATTAGAAAAACAAAACAAACAAATAAACAAACAAAAACAAAAAACAAAACAGGGAGGTTACCGGCAGCGAGGGTGAATGCGAATTCCCGTCCTTCCTTTCGTGAGGTGTGTGTGTGTGTGTGTGTGTGTGTGTGTGTGGTCTGCACTATTCGCCAGAGCTCTAGAGAAAAATAGCTGGGGTTGGCAGGCGCAGGACCACCGGAGATGCATCTGGCATCCCACCATGGGGACTGAGGAGAATGTCAAGCCACAACACTCCTCGAGGCAGTAGGGTGCTGCTGTGCCCTGTGGCTGCGGCAGCTGGAAGTGTGTGTGTGTGTGTGTGTGTGTGTGTGTGTGTGTGTTCGTGCCTGTGGTTAAGTGGGGAGATTGCTGCAGCACTCCCAAGGGCTCTTAGCCCCTTTCCCTCCTATCCCCCACTCTCTCGTTTCTCCGTTAAGACCCCAATCCGCCTCCACTGGCTGAATTCGTTCCTCATCTTCAGCTGCGGGTTTTTCAAACTCTTTTGCTAAGGCTGTATGAGCTCTTAGGTGAGCGGTGCTAGAAGAACCCCAAGCATTCGTGTTTATCCACCCATTCCAGCCAAAACCCACTAGCGGCTGGGTTCCTGCAGCCGCACCCTGGCGGCACCCAATTCTACCCCTACACCCCCCCCCAGGACCCCGCCTCTGGCCACCTCTCCTGGGCTCCATAGCAAGCACCCTGCGCAAGCAACATTAGGTCTGCTGCAGGAGCTGCCAGGCCAGCTGGCTGGGGACCAGGCGGGAGGTGGAGCGACCCGGAGGCTGCAGAAGTACGGGGGTGGAGGGGGGGGTAGGGCGGGAGGGAGGAAGGGAGAGAAGAGAGGAGAAGAGAGGAGGGAGGGAAGCCGGTCCTCCGGAGTAGCCTGCCCCCCCTCTCCCTCCCACCGGAGCGGGGCCGTCAAACGCAAACACGCGCGCACGCACACCCGCGAATACATACACCCCGGCTCCCTCCGGCGCGCACGCACAGCGCCTCAGGCAGACCAGAGCGGCGGCTGCCTCTCTGGACTCCTGGACGCCAGAGTCTCGGGATCCTCCCGTGGCTGATGTGCCTTTGCCGGTCCTTCCCCATCCCTACCCTTCAGTTCCTCTAAGCCCGCGGGACCACTCCCGCCGCCGCCGCCACCTCTCCCGCCGTCCCCGGAGGAGCTGGCCGCCGCCACGCAGTTCCCTCGTCGCCCCCGAGGTAGCCCCGTCGCAGCTCCTGTCTCGGGCTTCGCCCTGTTCCTGAGCTTCGCAGGCTGAGTAAAACAAACTTCGCAGACCGGCTGTCGCGCGGCGGGCACCCCGCGTGCCCCGCGCGCCCAGGTGGGCACAGGGCGTTCGGACTCTGGGGCATCGGGCTGCCTCTCCCGTTGCACCTGCTAGATAGACTCTCTTCCTGCTTGCAGGGGATTCTAGAGACATCTTCATTTAGCAAACTTTTCTGTTCCCCCAACCCAAGGGGGTGAGGAAAGCTAGAGGGAGAAGTTGGTCCCCGCGGGGCAACTGCCACCCTGGAGGCGATTAGCTGGGCCCCGCTAGCCGGGGAACGCATCCGTAGAGATGCAGAACCACTCCCCGGGTCGCCCTCTGTCCCGGCTTCTGATCCTGCCCCAGCCCAGCCCTCGGGCTCGAGGGGCCAGGGGCCGAGGACCACTCAGCCTTCGCGGAACGAGCGTGGGCCATCCATCCTCACGACCATCCGCACTGGGGCAAGCCGCTTAACCCAGGCCTGGCGTAGGGTGTCCCGGGCCCAGGATCACTGGCCTCCACGCGCTAGCGATGCCATAAACATGCCCACCCTCTTGCCTATCCCAGTGGTGATCACCACGCCCGCGGACCCCGTTGAGTTCGCGGAAACAACTGCACTGGGTGGGCCCGCTACGCCCGCAGAGCCCGTTGTGACCGAGGAACCCGGTGCGCCTGCAGAACCCTCTGCGCCCGCGGAGCCCGCGGAACCCGCTGCTCCTCCCGCGGAGCCCGCGGAACCCGCTGCTCCTCCCGCGGAACCCGCTGCTCCTCCCGTGGAGCCCGCTGCTCCCGCGGAGCCCGCTGTCCCCGCTGCTCCCGCGGAGCCCGCTGCTCCCGATGCTCCCGCGGAGCCCGCTGCTCCGGCGGAGCCCGCTGAGCCCGCGGATCACGCGGAGCCCGTTGCTCCCGCTGAGCCGGCTGAGCCCGCGGAGCCCGCTGCGCCCGCAGAGTCTGCTGCGCCCGCAGAGTCCGCCGAGCCTGCCGAGCCCGGGGCATCCGCTGAGCCCGGGGCGTCCGCTGAGCCTGCGAAACCCGCAGAGATCAGGGAGTCCGTTGTGGACATCGAGCCCGCGGCACCTGAAGGTGTTGAAGTTCGGGACAGTGAGGACCCCGAAGATGATGTCGTTTCCAGCATCACCTGCGGCGTCTGCTGTTACCACAGCTTACAACTTCGAATCCATCGCAGAGGAGGTTGCGTCCGTGCGGCTCTGCATTGGGATGGTGTGGCTCTTTTCCCCTTTGGCGGCTCCTTCTTCGCAGCCATGAAGAGACAGAACGTGCGTACCCTCTCCCTGATCGCCTGTACCTTCACCTACTTGCTGGTGGGTGCAGCAGTGTTCGATGCCCTCGAGTCCGACCATGAGATGCGCGAGGAGGAGAAACTTAAAGCCGAAGAGGTTCGCATCAGAGGCAAGTACAACATCAGCTCTGATGACTACCAGCAGCTGGAGCTGGTGATCCTGCAGTCTGAGCCCCATCGCTCCGGTGTCCAGTGGAAATTCGCGGGTTCCTTCTACTTTGCCATCACCGTCATCACAACTATAGGTAAAGCATGGGCGTGCCGCCACTGGGCTCCTGGGGGGTGTGCGGGGGGAGTCCTGGGGTGGTAGTGTGTGCTGTGTAAGGGTGGGTGTGGGGCTCCCAGGATCAAAACAGCTCTGTTTCACCCCTCAGGGGATGATTTCACTCCTCCAAGGGATCCTATCTTGTGTCCCACACTGCTCTGGTGTGTGAGCCAGGCTTGTGAACTCCCAGAGTCAGAGTGTTGTTGTCTTGAGGGTGGAGGCACCACTTTTGCGAAGAGTGGAGTGCTAAGAATAATTCCACAGCCGACACCCACCCACCGCAACGCCCCTGTGCGGGCTGTGCTTCCCTGAGTGGGTTCCAAGACTTACACTTACTACCTCTTGGAGAATTTGGGACAGAGCTGGCTGGGTGACAAAGGGCTGCTTATGGGCTGTAGGTAGTGGTGGTACTGATCATTCCTCACCCCGGGGGTTTTAGGGAGGCAAGATTTCGGCACCCATTATTCTCCCTTTGAGTCGTGGAGCGTGTTAGGACCCAGGAGAAGAGTTTCCTCCTCTTCATTGGGATGGGGTTGGCAGCAGGTGACCTGCAATGCGGTCCTGGTGGGTTGAGAAGGACAGTGCTTGTTTGTGGACTGTGAGTGTGGACCAATGGAGTCTGGATTCGGTTTGAAAACGGGGAGTTTAACTCTCTGAAAAAGTCTGTGTGTTAAAAGATGGGGTTGCCTATATATTCCCAAGCTCAGGGCACTGCTCTGAGCAGTCTCTGGTGGATCCTGTGGCTGTACCCTACTGAGGGGGTGGCAGGAAGGGGGTTAGAAGACCCCTCTAGATTTCCACCTGTGGGAATCTGAGTGCCACACTCCATCCCAGGTGATGTGGTAGATAGCATTTTGGCAGGAGGCAGACTGGTGTCTGTGGCTGCCCACCTGCCCTGTCATGGCAGCATGCCCAAGACCATCTCCTTGGTCCTGTGAAGCCAGAATGTTGACTCAAAGGTGGTCTCTTTTGCCCCTGATCAGAACCCATCTTCCTTTCCTGGACCTACCTCCAATTTTCCCATGATACTTTTTTTTTTTCTCCCAGAAAAGCTCTTTGTTGAGGGAAAAAAAAAAAAAAAAAAAAAAGACAAGATTTCAAGGTGTCACATACAACAGGGCACACCAGCCCAGGACAGCCTGTCTTTTCTTCTTGCTTGAAAGGACTTTTTAAGAGTTGCCTTTTAAAAAATATGTGCTAAATCGGTGCAGGGTTTTACATTTGGGGGAAGAAAGTCACCCTTCTGTTGTCCACATAACCAGTTTTGCCCCTGCTGGCCCCCAACCCCCCCCATTCAGGTGGCAGAAGAGACCAGCAGGTCACTGCGTCATTTCCATCTTTGGACTGTGGTGGTGGTATACTGATGTGCAAGTCATTGGTTCTAGTAGCAGGTATATTTGCTGGAAGGCGAGAATATGCCTGTGATACAGACAGAGGGGAGAAATCTCATGGTCCCTTACAAGTGGCTTTTGTGATCTAGCTCTGAAACAGGGGGTTTTGCTTTTCAGCCTGGTCCCCTGTAGTAAAACCAGCACTGTGTCCCCAGATGCGGGTGACACAGTGAGAGCTGGGGTTAAAAATGAGCAGAGTCATGCTGCAGCATTCCTTAAAAAACAGTTGAGGTTGAGGAAGCTCTCATTGGGGTATGCTTCATTTATGGATATGATTGGCAGTTCTGGGAATAAGCTCCTAATATTTGAAACCTCACAGGAAATGGTGTCAAGGGACGAAGGGCTAAAAGCAACTGTTGTCTTAGCCCCCTGACAAGGGGGCTCTCATAAGTACAGGATTAGGGCCACTGAGAAAGAAATATGTTAATTTTTCTCATTTCCTTTATTGAGTTTTCTAGTGATTTGAAGAAAAGATTGGAAACACACACACATACATACCACATGGAAATGCATACATACATCTACACTCTCATGCATAATCATATGCATGCATATATTCACATACATGCACATGCATGTATACATCCACACTCTCATGCATGTCCACATGCATGCACAATACATGCAGACAGACACAAATCCATACTCTCACATACATGTACACATATGCACACACATACATACACATTTGTACACATGCACACACAAATGCACACATACACACACATGTAAACATACATACACATCTACACATACATGCACATGTACACACATGCACATATACACTTACTTGCATTCACATATACACACATGCAGGCACATGCATGCAGGTAGATATGCATCCAGACACGCACACTCATATACACACATATCCACCTGCACCCACACGCTTACGTGCATGCACTCATACACACCTGCCTACATGCACACACATACACGTACATATATGCACAGACAGAAACACATGTCCTAAGGGAGCTGTGCTCAAGTGGGGAGAGTGGAATCTGGAGCCTGCACACAGTAAGGCTACATGGATGCCATTTTCTGACCTCCCACCTGTAGAAGAGCTATTATATAATAACCATTGGCAAGTGGCCTTTCCTTGTAGGCTGTGAGCATAAAGGGTCCCACCCCAGCTCTGGACATTGCCGCATTTAGTAAGTGCTGAATCCATGCTCTTGCTTTTGACTGACTGAGCCTCTTGCTGTCTGGTCCCTGAAGCACCAGCATCTGTAGGAAACAGAGCACCTTTGCAGTTACTTTGTTTCCTTTTCTTTTTTTAAAAGACATGCAAATGAAAGTGCTTTTGTGCCAAGGGTAAGAGCCAGCCCCAAGCCATGCCCTCAAAGGAATGGTCTTCTACTGGGCAATGACATCAGCAGAAGTGGTTTATTTCTGGTGTGTGTGTGTGTGCATATCAGTTTTGCACCCGAGACTCTGTGGCTATGGCAGGAGTCCTGGAACTGGCTAATAAAGGCTGCTTCCTAGATTCAGTTACTAGATTACTCTGTGAAGTGGATTTTCAAAATGTATATAATTACTACTTCGTTTTGAATCTGTGACTGTGCCTTTCTCAAAGGCTTTGGAGGCCATTTTGACTCATCCTGTGCATAACAACTGCTCTCTTACTTAGGTCTGGTCCTGCTGCCCATTCTTTCCAGTGGCTTTCAGGTGGCTGCCACTTGTAGCTCTCCTTAAGGGGGCTTTACTGTTTGGTTTTCAACTTGGGCTTATAGCCCGCTGACCAGATCGGCTGTAGAGTTGAAATGTGCCCTCCCCAGACCTATTGATGCAGGTGGGAGAAGCAGGCGGTGCTGGGGAGGGGCGCTCTGCAAGGCCATAGGAGGTTTATCAGAATAACTGGTACAAACTGAATACCTCCCACAGTGGGAGGTTCATGCTAATACTGCCCCACAGTCAGCCTCTTTGCACAACATACCAGAAATGGGGGGGTTTCCATCACACTTGGTTTTGTTCAACCTAACATCTGTGGTCTAGGCTGGCTACCTTCAGGATCATTAAAAAGGAGGATACACCAGATGCCATGAAGTGTGGAGGACGATTTAAAGGCTGGTTTGCCGGGGGGGTGGGGGGTGGGGTGGGGTGGGGGGGTGGAGGGTTGGCAGGGGGAGGAGGTTGGCTTGTGGGCTTTCTTCTCCTGCTACTGTTTTGGGTGAGTTCCTGACTCTCTGGGCCCATCTGAAGCTGAGGTTGCTGCCATAGGAGTGGAGGTGATTTAGGACCGGGGTCTACAGGTGGCGGTGGGGCCCCACTGACAGAAGCTCTAGGGATCCTGCCCTGTTTTAGACAGACATCAAACTCCTTCCTCCTTTCACAAGATGGACAGCATTCGTCACAGGTTTTGCAGGGGGTGCATGATTTCAGGTTTTTGTCAAGCATCTGCTTTGACTTGCTTTTGCTGCCCGCTTTGATACTCTGGGGACAGTATAGATGGCAAGATAAGGCAGAAGGTGCTGGAAAACCAGATAGTTGGTTGTAGTTGAGTGTGAAGCTCAGGTACAACTAAGCTCAGGGAAAGCCTTTACCTGTTCTGTGTCAGCAGCACACACACACACACACACACACACACACACACACACAACAGAGATGGACACACACAGACAAACACACACAGACAGACATACACAGACATACACACACACAGACACACACAGGCAGACATACAGACACACAAGACAAACACACCCACACACAGAGACACACAGAGACAAACACACACACATAAACACACACAAAGAGACACATACACAGACACATACACAGGCACATACACACACACATACACACACACAGACACACACACAGACACACACAGACACATATACACACAGGCACAATACAGACACACACACACAGACACACACACACACAGGCACACACACAGACACACATAAACAGACACAGGCACACACACAGACACACACACAGACACACACACAAACACATCCACACACAGGCACACACAGAGATGAACATACAGAGATAAACACACACAGACAGACATACACACACAGGCACACACACACACACACACAGAGATGGATATACCGAGACAAACACAGACACACACACACACACAGACAAACACACACGCAGATACATACACACACAAGCACACACAGAGATGGACAAAAAGAGACAAACACACACAGACATACACACACAGACACATACACATAGGCACACATACAAACACACACACAGGCACACACAGTCAAACATACCTGCACACAGAGACACACATACACACAGATACACAGGCACACACACACACACACACAGACACACACACACAGATAAACACATATGCACACAGAGACACACACACAGACAAACTCACATACAGATACACACAAACAGGCACATACACACAGACACACACACAGGCACACACAAAGATGGAGACACAGAGATAAACACACACAGAAAGACATACACATGGACATACACACAAACACATACACACACAGACAAACACACTCGCACACAGAGACACACACACACAGAGACAAACACGCACAGAGACACACACCCATATACAGACATGTACACACAGGTACATACACAG